CTCAACAGATCTTGGACGATATTGAATTCTTAAAAGAAAAACTGAAACAAGAGGAAGACAAGGAGACATAAAATAAACAATTAATAACTAATTAACTAATTTAAAAGATGAAAGTGGATGTACTGTACTCTATATATATAGTGCCTAATGAAGCCATGGCTGGACTAATTAAAAAACCCTAAAGACCATGATTTGGTCACCTGAAACAAATCTTTTGCACAGATGAGAAGATCCAAGGTAGCCAATAATTTATACCTCCTAAGTGTAAATTAATTTTGGATAATAATAATAAAGGATGCTTTAATAAATCAAATGCAAGTGGTGTTTGGAGTTAGGGGAACAATATACATCGTTCTTCCCAATTTCATTAGGTCTACACTTTTGGTGGCAGTACTTAAACCCTCTATCACTAAATAATTTGTTTTTAATGTATTATACACAATTATAGCAGATGTAAAAGCAAAGGATTCCTCAAGGCACGTCTTAGCCCTACTTTATTCATCCTCCATACTCGCTTTAGTTATCTTTTCGTACAATATAATCAAGATTCTAATACTTTCTTCTATTTTTCATATTATTATTCTATCTTCAATAAATATCAAATTTGCAGTTCGATTTGATACGTGTCAAGGAATGACTCAAGGGTAATGGATATGAACTGACCACTTATTGGAATAGTCAGACAATTTTAGGAGGTCTTTGACGTTTATTTTATTTATTTATTTTTTATTATATTGATGGAGTTTGAACTCTCAACCTTAATTATGGAAGACAGGGAACTTATTAAGTGAGCGAGCCCGCAATCTCAATCTTTGTTGTTCAGTAGTACACCCACCCACAACAAATATAGGTTTTTATTTTTATTTTTAGCATGCGAGATTCTATTTATATTCGATAGTCCAAAAAATGTATAAAATTTATTTAATTTTTTTTATATAACATACAGAATATATATATAAAAAAATTCCCAAAACATCATTTTAGTTTAAACATCTTTCTTCCACAAGGATTGTAAGAAGATATAAGAATTCCAGACAAAAGCATACATTAGTGGATTTTTAAAATTTTACTTGGTTAATTCAATAAATATCTAGACAATAGCCACTCTGATTACAAGAACTTTTATAGTATGAGATTTCTGATTGGTCTTACTTCCGACAAACAACTAAATCGTAATTCTTTTCTAGTATTTCCCAAAGTTGGCTTTATAGTGCTTAGTTTAATAAACAGCAATTATATGTTTCCTTCATCTTTATTAGATGGAGTACTCCATGTATGTCACCTCTTACCTAAAAAAGATTAAATTTAGCTATGAGTAGTGTATAGTCAAAGAAGGGAACGGTTGAGAATTTGACTATCGTTTTCGATAATCACTTGCTTTATTATCTTAATAAAAGTATGATCAAATCAACTTAATAAAAACAGTATATATATATATATATATATATATATATATAAGCGAAAGCTAACCAATAGAGAGAATATAGTTGCTTCACATGCACATAAATGAACTATTAAACCACTAAGCAAGTGACGAATAATACGTGCAAGTTTCAGTTATAGAATTCAACATTATTAGGACAAACTTCTCGATTTTATTTAAACTATTGCACAATGAAGTGGGTGATGCTGATGTTGAGTTCCCACATCCGCTATTTAAATGTAATTTTACATTATTATGGTCAATTCTCATCTTGCGGGCTAGCTTTGATGTATGTCGAGTTCGGCATAAATTCAGTTTCTTTACCAGCTGATGCCAGCTGCCAGTTTTTTTTTATAAAATGATAATTAATATATAATATGATATATTTTAATCAAGCTGGAACATATATACCCATGATGATATATATGCATCTCTCTCCCAATAATAAACTATATAGCTAGTCTAAGATTAATAGTGAAAATTACTATACACTGTATGGGCATGGCTGGCCAAAGTACAATTGTTATATTTGCATGCTTTAATCATGTATTTCACTACTCCATATTATTTACTACAGTAAAGATAAAGTAAGGGAAGAAAAAAGTGAAAGAAGGTTGAAGAGTAAAGTAGTACTACTAGTAATGTTGATGATTAAATACTTCTCGCGGAGTATGTGTGGAATAATGCTGGTCTTTCTTTCTTTTTAAGTAATGATTAAAGTATTATTGTTTTTTTTAATGATAAAAAGTATTGTTGTATGCTTCTTTGTTCTTCTTTCCCATCAGGCCCTTTTTAGTAACAATTCTATTGAAAAAGATATTCACTAAAATAATTAATTGAAAAACAAAAATATTAAAAAGGACAATTTAATCAGATTATAATATTTTTTATTAGTAAAAACTAAATTAAAAGAATTATTATAAAAAATTAAAATAGAAAAAATAAACGTAATATCATAAACCACAAGTAGGATTAATGTGATGAGGCAAACTCTAGATGGAGATCTCTGAAATTATTCTTTTATTTTCTCTTAAGACCTTTAAACCCCAGTCTTGATGTAGATATATTTCTTTTTTCTTTTAACCGTATGTGGAATACATTAACCCCGATAAATTTAAATTCGCATTCGATAAAACCACTAAAAATATATAATTATTAATAAAAAACTTCTCAATTCTCAAGTCTTAAATTTAAGACTTTTAACTAAAAGCCGGGCTGACTAGGCCACTAAGACAATGGCCTTAGGCCCCCAAAATACTTAAGGCCCCAAAATCTATAAATAATATATATAATATCTAATAATTATTCACTATTGATAGAATTTTTAAAATAATTGGTTAAAATAGTTATTTTACACATCTTAAATTGTAGTTACTAGTTGTTTCCCGTCTTTAATTCGTCCCAACTTAAATCGATCTACTTAATATGTTAGTTTAGAATATATTTTTTAAATTCTTTGAGTGCCTTTGTAGATATTTTCAAGCTACTTTGATAAGTAACTATTAAAATTTGTCTTTAGCATTGAATGACTTTTGAAGCATAGTAGTTACAATAATATTATTTGTTTCAACTTATATTTAGAGTTAAAAGTGCTACGAGAAACTGTATAAGTAGAAGAATACTCTATGGCAAACTCAATCAGGTAAAAAATGTTAATTCAATTACCGTTAACAATTTTTATATCAGTTGTCTTGGTTGAATTTTTTTTTCAAAATTAAATCAATAAAGTTCAACATGATAACACAAGAGATATTAAACAAATTGGTTAGACATTGACAATAATTAAAACTGATTCTAACTTCTTTTGATTTGGATAAATTATAAGAGAAAAAATAATTAAAAAAATTTAAGGTCTCAATTTTTATTTTCACCTTAGGCAGCCAACCCGATTAAAAGGGAAGAAATTACAACCATATTGTCACATCTATTGTTAAGTCAAGAGTTATTAATGGTCATCAAGTAGCCACAGCTGGTTAGAGGGGGCTACATTGTGCATATATGATTCACATGGTTTGAATGGTCAAGTTTCAAATGATTGGGTGTTCTCGTTACACATTGGATACTTTCCCCTTTTTACTGCTGTCCATTTTATTTTTCCTTTTCTCAAAATGCAAAAGTTTGGTCTTACATCTGAAATTGACCAATATCACCTTAAAAATTACCCCAAAAAGATTATCTATGGAAACAGAGAGGGGATAAAATCCATTTCGTATAGAAAAAAGAAACATTCAATTCGTAGTCAAAATGAGATTTGAAAAAATAGTACCTAGAATTCGTTCATATAATAACCAATCTTTTCATTTGCTTTAAATACCAAAATAGTCCACTTTCAAGAGAAGAAGAACAAAGAGAAAGAAAAAAATATATAGAAAAGACATGGCTAACCCAAATTAAATCACTAAAAGATGAAGGATAAAAAAACAACTTGGTGCATTTCTCTTTTTAATTTCATTTCCAATAGAAAAAGTTGGATATTTTCGCCCTCCTTTGCATGTCAATGTGAGGCTAGATGGAGGGTTGTAATCAATAGTGGAGCCAACATTTTCACTAAGGAAATTCGAAATATTAAAAAGTAAATACACTAAGCAGTTAAGAGAATTCGATATATATTATTAATGCATTAAAAAAAAAATTAACTTTTAGTATAATTTTTGAGCGAAGGAGGTTCGGAACCCCTTCCGCCAGCCTAGCTCCACCTTAATTGAAATGAAAAAAATCTAGGTCTTCTTTCTCGAAAATAATCCAAGTTTCTTTTTCTCCAAAAAGGAAAAAAAAATAAGTTGGAATAAAAAAAAGGAAGTGAAAAATATAATGGTCATAACTTAACCTTTAGTGTAATTTTTGAGTGACGGAGGTTCGGAACCCCTTCGGCCATCCTAACTCCACCTTAATTGTAATGAAAAAAATCTAGGTTTTCTTTTCTCGAAAATAATTCAAGTTTCTTTTTCTCCAAAAAAGAAAAAACAAATAAGTTGGAATAAAAAAAAGGGAGTGGAAAATATAATGGTCATAACTTAACCAAACGAAAGCGAATTGGAGGAATCATGATCTAACCCACGGGTCCACTCAATGTCCCCGGGCCCCGGTTCACTACCAGATAGTTCCGAATTTTTATTTATTTATTTACAACAATAATTACTCCTACTTAAAGTCAAATTTACAAACAAATCAACTCAACAACCAAACACAAAACAAAATTAACAAGTAGGAGTAATTACCAACGGAATCATGATTTTCTTGATATTTCTTAGATGGTCGATTGGTAAGAACATTTTTAGTTTGAAGTGTCAAATATTTTCGCGCTTTATTTTATTGTGAAATATTATAATTGGAAATTATCGAAATTTTTGCAAATATTTTACACAAAAATTAGGATACTTGTAAAAAAAATTAACTTCTAGAAATAAGAAGTGAAAGTCACTTTTCATTTCTTTATTTTTAAAAAATATTATTCTCAACATAGTATTTTGAAGTTTAAAGTAATTTTATATTGAAAAATGATTTCAAAAAAAATATTTNAATCCAAGCGTGCACTTGGCACGCATGAAAGCAATTAATTCCATCAACCAAAGTAAAGAAGATGGTCTTTTTCCTTTTATATAGTCTCTCCCCTTATCTTTGACTGTACTCTACTTCCCCTCTCTATATTTTGCACACATACACACACTACTTTCAATCTCCAAAATCAAATCTCTGCTATTTTTGGGTTTCTCATTATAATCAATTGGGTTTCGCTTCTCTAGTTTCATTCTCTGTAAGTACCTATTTTCTCAATAAAGTAATTGTACGGTCGATTTTGGTTTTTTCATTTAGTCCATTTGAGTTTTGATTCTTGGTATTCATGTTTTGGTTGTATGGTTGTTAGTTTTCCAAGTTTTAAAGGAGTTTTCACTAGGATCTTGCTTTATCTCCAATAATAAAATAAAATTGCCTTATTACTCTAATTATAGAAGCTACTAAAAATAGAGGTTAACAGCTAATTATGTGAATGGATTTTCAGCTGCAATTTCTTAACTTTTTTAATTCCATGTCTGGTTTCAAGAAAATAACAATGAAATTAATCCTGTAGTCTTACTAGTATGTCTCTTTTAAAAAAAGAATCTTTGTATGACTTGGTACAAAGACTCAAGGGGCAAAAAGCCAAAAAAGTAACCATCTTTGTCCTAATAAGTAATAATTCGCCCCACCCCTCAATTTTCTGAGTATTCAGGCGTGCATTCACAAGATTCCTACTATTTTTTTCTATAACATATATGGTTTCATCTGATGTCTTGGTTTTTAAACTGATGTTAGTATGTTGTAATGTTTACAGGAGTTTATAATTGACTAAAGTGAGGAACAGCATGCTGTGGTGCAGTTTATCTGTTGATGTATATAGGAAAGTCATCTCCTTGAACTTGTACTGTCATGTTATTCTGTAAAATACCCTCCACAAAATCACTTCTTTTCTGAAATCTTGATTCGTTTTTCACCTCAGAAAATTCATATTCTTTTTATATTAATCTTCCATGGGTTCCACTCGTTTCATTGTCATACCTTGCTACCTTCTCATGATCAGCTGAGAATCTGTTTCTCTTCAGATTACTCACTTTTTTAGCTTTCTTATAGGAGATAGTTGTGTGGTGTTTATTTGAAGGATTAGCAAAATTGTTCCTTAACTTGAACAATTTTTCTGGTGGGGTTTTTAAGAATCAGTTCTGCTAGAATTAAGATTGTGGTGTGTTGGTTGTGGGAGGGATTGGAACAAGTAGTTATGGTGTGCCAAGCAGCTGGCCAGACAAGATTTCGGGCATTGAAGCACGAAAATGGGATTGCTGGGTCTGCCACCATAATTGTTAGAGTAATTGCATGCTTTCAACCTCTCCAGGATTGCCAGGTTAGCGTTCGTAGTTTTTTAGATTCCAATTTTATTGTCTTGTTGTATATTTGATCTCCTAGTTTTTACTTTTTAGTTGAAGAGATTGTGGATGAAAGCTAATTTCTTTTCTTGTTTATTTCAGGCTGAATATTTTCGCCAGTTGTTGAAACCCGTCACGTAGTTTTATCTTTCTTGTTACTGCATTCAAGTTAAGCTGGAATTTTTGGATTTTCTGTTGTTTCTCAAGTCTACAAGAAGTAATCAGCAATTTGTATTACCTCAGTTATTTAGAACTGGTATGTTTCACGATATCTCCGTTCTTGGCAATTTTTATTGATTTGAAGGTTAAGTTTTTACATATGGATCATTTGGTTTATAGATATTTTTTTTTGGGTTTGATAATTAGGTGATTGTTGAGGTTGAATGGAAAAAGACTTCGGTTCTTGGTTCCATCACCAGTATCCAGATCTGCAATCAGCCCATTCGAACTTTTCTAGTTGTGGACTCAATATTGGGCAGCAGAATTCTGTTCCTATTTACATGACTCCTCACTCGAATGAGGTTCCAGTAAAAGGGAATTCTCACTTCTCATTTTATAGGCTGCCAGAGTCAAAGGCAAGCCAACCAACTGAACCTTGTAATTGGTTATACTGTTTACCACGGTTCCGACAAGGTTTCACTCCAGTTTTAAACACTGTAGTGAACACAAAGCTTGGTCCTCAAACAATTGACAATCTTGGAGATAAAGAAGAAGCTGATGCAAGCCGTGGATCCGCTCAGAAGAGATTTCTTGTGTTTGATCAATCTGGTGGTCAAACAACTTTAATTTACAGTTCTCCAAATGGTACTCCAGTTCAATGCCTGCCCTCTCGGAGTCCACAACCCGCTGGACCTTGTAATTTGATTAAGGAAGGCCCACATATTAAAAGGAATGGAATTTGTCCATCTGGGCATTACTTCAGTGGTGAATATTATGAAGAAAACTATACAGATGACGTGGAAAGTGAATTGCACGAGGACACTGAAGAATTGAATGCCCTACTCTACTCAGATGATGATGATGGTAATTCTGAGGATGGTGACGAAATAAGCACAGGGCACTCGCCTAGTACTATGACAGCTCATGATCTACCACAGTGGCTTGATGAAATAGGCGAAGAAGTAGCTAGTTCGGAATGGCCAAACAAAAAGCGTAAACGGTTCGATGGTGGCTGTGATGTACCATCAATCATCGATACTGCAACCTCTGCGAAACCCTTTACTTGCTCTGACTTAGAGGATGATGCAGAATCCAGTTGTGGCAATAGCAATAATCAAGTTTCAGAAGCATTGGTTTCTCTATCTGGGGAAAAGAGGCCAAGAAAAAATGAAATTTTTGAGACGATAAGCGTTTTGCAGAAGATAATCCCTGGAGTGAAAGGAAAAGATTCGATGGTTGTCATTGATGAAGCAATAAGTTACTTGAGATCCCTGAAGATGAAAACCGAGTCTTTAGGACTTGATACTCTTTGAGCTTCAGTATGCTCCTGCTGACAGTAGTGCCAGTACTAGTAGTATTGGTACTTGTAGCATATATTTCTGAGGTAAGTTTTAATGCTTTGTGAATAAATAAGCAGAAGTAAGGTTAGATGTGGTGTGGTAAGGAGGAGTTCGCTGAACGTCATAAGCTAGGAAACCGGATTGAAGAACCTTTTGGAGTCTTAATTCCTTCATTCTATTGAAGCAGTTACTGTTCTTTTGAAATCTCTAGTCATGTCTCATTCATGTCTGTACACATACGGTGGGTACTTCGTATAGTTGTTCCAATGGTGACGGTATATATGAGTTCATGTCTTGATGCTGAAGAGAAAAGTTATTCAGCCCTGGGAAAAACGTTTTCCCACCTACTTCATAGCTGTATGTGTGAACAAGCAGATGACACATACCTCAATAGCATCCTGGAGAAGTAGTTGTGCTTGGTGGGCATTTTAGTTACCAGACCCTTTCATTTGTGTCCTTTTCCCTTGATCTTGTCAAGTTACCCCCTTTACAGCTTCCCTCATCGAATGGCACCCATTGCAGTGGCAACACATCTTTGTTTTGCTGTTACATCAGGTATTTGTTGCTCTGCTTGATTGAGCATGAATTGACCACTCTGGATTTGTCAATGCCTAAGAAGGGTCGAAATTCTCGTGTAAAGACTGCTATATCCACATTACCAGTTAAGATTTCCTCCACTATGTTATCATGGTGTGACGTTTGTCATCTAGAACTTTACCAGTTTGATTCCATGTATGTATCATTTCTTTGAATGGCCAATATACTATATTTTGGTGTAGATTCTGTCTTAATGCGCGTCTTTTGCCGCTAGAGAGTTGTGATGTGTTTTATTGGTTTGATTCCTTTGTGCTCTATTGTTAAGCTTCTTCATTGCTGAAAGAGGACTGCATGTTCTGAAATATTATGGTGATAAAATTCCACACATTCTAACTGCAGGCGAGCCACCTGCATTGCGTCGCGCAACTATTCTCTTTCTTACTTTTTCTTTCCTACATGAGAGAGGGTAGATGAACTAAGTAGATCAAAGAAATGTATCTTGTTTTGACGCTTAGAATTTTGATAACTTGTGGTTTTCCCTTTTTTTTTTTTTTTTT